GTGGAACTTTTTTCTTTGGCTTAAATTGTTCCTGAAGCGAGCGATGGAGTCAAACGTAAAATGTGCCCGAAGCCTCCCTGCTCTCTCTATTATTGTGTTCCCTGTGAGATATACAATCCACTAAGCCTAAACGGCGTCTCAATCACGCGGCCTGATAGAAGAATAAATTAAAGGGGTCTGAATGAACTCTCAGTACAAATGTTAAAACTATCTGAAAATTATTACGGGAGGAGGCCTCGGGGATCTAAACAGAGCTGTACAACTACAACTTGTGCACAACACCGGATTGACTGTCTGACGGTAATCAAGAACAAGAAGAAAAAGAAGAAGAAGAAGAGGAGGAGGAGGAGGAGGAGACAGGACCAAGCGAAGTAATCGAAGAGCTTTGAAAAACTCAGTTTGGTTTTGTTTGGTTTGATTTTGTTTGGTTTACTTCAGTAAGAATTTTACGGCGCTTGCAACTGCATAAGGTCATGCGATCGTCCGAAACACAAGTTGATTGCATTCACAACAGTTCACAGCACGGCTTGATTTTGTTGTATGGTCTAGGTTTCAAATGGTTTAGATTGCGTGCTCTTCAACTTCAAACAATCCACGTTCCAGAAATAAGATTCGAAACAGGGTTATTCACATTTTAGCCTAGCGTTATACGAAAAAAAAAAAAAAAAAAAAGAATAAATGGAAGTCGTTGTACACAAATAGCAATAAAAAACAGTGGTTCTAAATTTGATATGCGCTTTATTTTCCGTATATTTTTCGTCAAAGCGAAAAAGCAAACCACAAAAAGTACCATCATGGTGCTAACATTTGCTTCAAGTCTGACTTGTGTGTGTGTGTGTGTGTGGAGTATACACACATATCTAATATATCAGTAATATATATATGACATATGTATATATGTATATATATATATATATTATTATATATATATATGTAAATATATATGTATATATATATATAGATATATATATATATATATATATATATATATATATATATATATATATATATATATATATATATATATAATATCATGATCTATATAATATATCATATATCATATTTTAACAATTAAAATGTTAGCACCATGACGTTATCTAATATTATTATCGTGTGTAGTCAACAAAGAAACCAAACTCAGAAATCAAAGACATGTGGGAAAATATAATATTGTTCATGTACTCCTAAACCGCGTACTGTGACGACCGCCCCTCCCCACTCTCTCTACAAAAAACCCACCAAAAAACAACAAACAAAAAAACTTAGCTGTGGGCGTTCATATCATGACTTGCGATATTACGCCTATAAAGGAAGCGGTGTGCCTCGCCTCGCCACAACACTCAATGATGGGCAAAACACCTTATAATATACATATCATTCAACTATTATATAAATATAATATGCGCGGCAGCTTCCCTCTCGTTGTTAATTTGGTTCAAACCGAGTCAATCGCCACCCTAGAGTGACAAAGTTCTATCTGCTCAGTATGGCCTATGTAGTTTTGAGAAATGTTGGGTTTCACAACATGTAAAGCTTTTTCGAATGCAACTCTCTGAACATATTGATCATGACTTCGAATAATCTTACAATTTTGATAAAACATTGATTTTACAATTTTGATAAAACATATTGATCTTACAATTTTGATAAAACATATTGATCTTACAATTTTGATAAAACACATTGATCTTACAATTTTGATAAAACATATTGAACATAATTTTGGTTTTGACTTCATGAGCTTAGCAACTCAAAACGGACCAAAATGTCAGAAAGAGCTTTGTAATTCTGAGGTAGCGAAATTGTATACTCCATAGTGAACCGGAAATACGCCAGAAATCACGATCTAGGCATATAATAATAATAATAATAATAATATATCATAATACAAGTCTGTGGAAGGGGACAATGACGAGACTCACTAGAAGACAAAACATTGAAGAGGAATGTCTAGGGTATGAACTTTTCTCAGTAACACTCGGGTGTGTGGTAACAGAAGTGACGAATGAGCTCAACCTGCGCTCTGCTGAACCTGACTTACTTCATGGAACTATCTATCTATCTATCTATCTATCTATCTATCTATCTATCCATCCATCCATCCATCCATCCATCCATCCATCCATCCATCCATCCATCCATC